GGAGTCGCCCCCTGGTGGACACTAGAGAGAATGCAGCTTTTAAAACAGTTCTGCAATGACTTCACTTTTCGGAACCAGAGGTTGCCGCCTGTTTAGAAAGTAACATAAAAATACAATAATCGGAAAATCTCACTTTTTCTCTCTGTCTTTGTTTAAAATGAGTCGAGAAGCCGACAGCAAAGCCTAACTTTACTTTTAAGGTTATTAAACAAAGAGAAATGCTCATCGCTTGTCCTAAAATGACACTGGAGTACTTGAATGAAACGGTAAACGAGTTGAAGCAGCGGCGCTGTTTGTGTTTGACCAATCAGCGACGGTCATCCCTGCAAACCCCACCCTGAAAGTTTCCTTTCAGAAAGTATTAAAAACCCGACCGGGGCCTTTTTGGGAGGTAAAACGTCCCCAGAACTAAACTTAGACTCTGGTCCCTGCAGTCAAAAGGTTCCTCGTACCTGAGGAAAGTTCCTGCAGTCAAAAGGGTTTTTATGGGGACGGTGTATTGAAATGTGTGCTTTTGTCCGCTCCCATAACATTTTCCGAACACGATAACTGTCTGAATTACAAGTTTTTAAAAAAAATCGAAGACACAAACCTCCTGCTGCTCTCATCTGTAGGGTTGATCCCAAAGATGTCCAGCTCTTTCTTGCTCTTCTCCGGGTTCAGGGTGAGGAAGGTGTCCCTGTTCTTATGCAGGTAGTTGACCAGGTCCCCGTAGAAGCAGTACTCCGTGATGATGTAGATGGGGCCTGGGAACCACACGGCAGATAAGAATCGTGCATCGGCGTCAGTCTGCAGGCTAATCTTATCAGAGAGGCTCGTAAAGGCTGAAGAGCTCAGTCGAGAGGGCAAGCCTCCACTCTGCCATAAAACACCACGCCCACCACAGAGCGGAGACGGGAGCTGCCGGTCTCTCTGGGCTGTAAATCATCTGAATGAGTGTGAACGTGCGTGCATGAAGCAGCATGAACGTGCGCGTTATCGTGTGCCTCTCGTGTAAAGCGGTGGCTAAATTGCAGAGAAGAGGAAACTTAAACTAAAGCACCGTTTGTGTTTGTGTGTGTGTAGTGTTTACCTGATTTGGTGCACGCTCCCAGGAGGTTAACGATGTTCAGATGTGGTCCGAGATGAGTCATGATCTTCAGTTCGGACATCAGGGCCTGCTTCTCACTGGAGCGGGCCGTGGCTGAAAGGAGGCGTGGGAAAATGTGACTATCGTGGCGTGTGATCAGCCACATTCAGCCTCTATCTTGTTGTTAAAAAGGTGCATTTATGACCCTGCAGACTCTAAAGTATCTTCCTTTCCCCAACCTTCTGCAGTAGTTGAATACAATCAGCTGTCAGGTGAAATGTTTTCAGTATTTTGGTATTAAATGGTTCAACAGGCCTAATATTTTGTGTCACTGATTTGAATTCATGATCACAGTGTTTTATGGGCTTATTTTATGATGTTTGAAGTGTAAACGTATAAAGGAACTCCACCACGGTCATGTGACGTCACGTCTCCAGCACTAAGCTAAAGGAGGACTAGTGTTCTCGTGAGGACGTTTAGTCGTCTCATTTAGGGGCGTTCACTTTTTATATCAGAGAACTAAAGGTTAAAATCGTTTAAAAGGGACAGTTCACCCTAAAATCTAAAATATATATTCTTCCTCTTACCTGTGGAGATATTTATCGGTGTAGATTGTTTTGGGTGAGTTCATAGTGTTTGAGATATCGGGCATAGAGATGTCGGTCTTCTCTCTGATATTTTGTGACTTGATGGCACTCAACAGAAATGTCTCTTTCTAGAAATCATGACCCGTTTACTGAAGATAACCCAAAGAAGTTGTGAGCAGTTTCATGAACATTTAAACAGGTTAGAACACTAAAAGCATCTAGATTACTATAGAGCACTACAGGTAAGAGGAGAAATATGTGTTTTCATTTAGAGGTGAACTGTCCCTTTAAGCTTGTGATAACCACATTCCAATCCAATCCAATTAATCCACAAACAACTCACCGACTTCTCTCCTGACCACACCCTATAACTCCTTTAACTCATCTCAGATGACCTGCAGCGACACGTCTTGTAAATCTGTGATCCGTTGAACTCACGTTTCAGCATCTTCGCTGCCACCTTCATCACGGGCTGGGAGCGGCTCAGTCCGTAAGCGGTGCCCTCCACAACCTTCCCGAAGGCTCCGGAACCCAGGATACGACCTGGAGAGAGACACGACGTGAAGAAGCCACTTATCAAAAGACGGCAGACAGAAGAAGCTTCACTCTTTGGATGCTCTCGTGCTTTCTCATCTGTGACCGAGTCAAACCAAACCCCCTTCTGCCCGAGCGAGATAAGCTCGACACTTAAAGGTCTACAGCTCGAGCATCAGAAGAATGATATGTCAGCTCACCGAGCATGAGTCTGTCTCGGGGGAACTCCCATCTGGAGTCGTAGGGAAGCTGCATTGGATCCACATAGATGTACTCGTGGCCGTCCGGGCTCACAGACTCGATGACCCTCCAGCGGATCTCGTAGCGTGGTTTCTGAAAGACAGAACACACGTAGGAGCTGATTAATCAGCACTGTTGGACGCCGTACTGGGTCTCATATCTCCAAAGCCTTGCAATGTCTGTTAGGAAATTTTGTTTCATTTATTATGTATTATATTAAGTCAGGAGACTTTTGCTTTGGGTGGGAGTGCTGCTATTTGGTAGATAACCAAACATATTCACAGACATTGATAAAAACTTATTTTGTGGGTTCTTTGTGGGCGGAATATTTGTGCGGGGGTGACCAATGAAATCCAAGTGATGTCAAACCTCCAGGTCATAGTTAGCTGTTAGTTTCTCAACACCTAATATTGTTCAAGAAACACTGCGACGAATCCCTGAACAGCAAAAGAAAGGACAATACACGGCTTGAGATCGCCAGCAGCTGTGACACGATCAAGATGCTAACGTAGCTTTCTAACGGTATAAGTTGGTCACACGGAAAGACCCGCCATGCGTTGCTGGTTGAGACGTTGACCTCGAGTAGTTAGCATCAGCTAATCCTAGCGCTTGAATGCAGCAGGGGGCAGGTCTTGCCAGGAAAAGGTTTCGGGTCCGATTATTTTATGTATTTTGTCGTTAATTAGTTCGTTAGCCTCTTAGACGTTCTCTGTCTGGATAGCTTTTATTTGATGTTTTATATTTGATGTTATTTTGTGACTGAAATGGAACCCAGCAATGCGGATAACTCGCACTGGAAATCAGGAATTTCACGCTGGACTTTATCGGGCTACTTCGCTATCAAAAAACAAAATTTCCCAAATACATAAACAAGTGCAGAAGAAGAGATGAACACATGAGAATGAATGCATAATGGTGCCAACAGTACCTGTTTCCAGATAATAACCAAGACAATGAGTGAGATGATGACAATGACCAGCAGCACCAGCACAGCAGCAGCTACAGTCAGCTCTGGGTGAGGGCCTGTTCAGGAGGAGAGCCGGGGGGGGGGGGTCACACGTGTTAACATGGTCCATCACATGACATGATGTCCGTCACGTGTTGCACAACAAATGTCGTCTGTCAGGGATAAGAAACAATGAAATCCTGACGGTGTCCAGTTTACTGGGACCAAAAGGTATGCTGGGGAGAAAACATGGAGGTGGGGGAGGGGACAGGTGCTGGTTTAGGGGGAGTGGGTGAGGATGGGGGTGTAAAGCTCGTCTGGAAGGAACAAATGGCCTAACGATCTCTTGCTTCCCTGAATTAGCCTTCACAATAAGAGCCTCCTATCAGCTGTCTCACCACAAACTCATCATCTGACAGCTGCTGTGACGCTGTCGCACTCTGAGTGTCACAAACGGAAGCAACTCCACAACAACAACAAACATCAAATGACAAGTGTGTGTGTGTGTGTGTGTGTGTGTGTGTTCTTACCATTGGACACCAGTTTGACCTCCCTGCTGACGATGCCCATTTCGTTCCTGGCCTGGCAGCGCACCGCCAGCGTGCTCTCAAGGTGACCAAACATGACCCGGCTCTCCAGGTTGCTTTCCTCATCGACGTGCGCATCCATCGCGATCTCCGTGGAGTTGGCGGGGAGCAGCACCCAGGCCGACGAGTCGTTGGCACAACTTGAACAACAGGACGAGAGACATGACGTCAATCAAAGTGTCCCGGCTGATCCAAGCATCTCTGTTGGCTGTCGCTCTAAAGAAGAAACTTACTGCTTGATGTTCTTACAGACGAACCACTCCACCACCGGAGTGGGCTGCCCTCTGGTGATGCACACCACAGACTGGCCGGTGGCTGAGCCGTGGTGGATGTCCATCAGGTCCACAATGACTGCAGGCACTGTAACACAGTCCGACAGTAGGGGGGTAAGCTTTGCAACGTGTGTGTAAATCAGGCGGCTACCGTTG